AATTAAATTGTCTTCGTAGTCGCTGTTGAATATATTTGACACCTCAGTTAATTTAACTGCTTACATCACTGAAGAAGACTCGTCATTTCTGACTGATAGTTGTGTTAGGCTGCGTGGTGTCAACTTCCCTCTAGTATTAGCTCAATATACATAAGCATACAGTGAGAGGTGAATAATTTTTTCAACCTTTAAGAGTAATACTAGTAGATAGAAGGTATCGAGTATATTTTCCAAATAAATACTTCATAGGAGATTAAATTTTAGTTGTGTATGTGAACATGTGAAATTTGGATATATCCAAGTCAGTGCATACTCTTAAAAATATTTTTTTCTGATAAGGTTCACAGTTGAATTTTGTTATAAAGAACGTTTATGGGGATAATTACAGAATGATCTTAGTTATAACTATGCATTGTTCTAATCACCATAAAAAACTATTTTTTCAGGGGAGGTAGACATGTAGCTGTGAAAATAGTAAAAAATGTTGATAGGTATTCTGAAGCGGCTCGTTCAGAAATACAAGTACTGGAACATTTAAATGCGTCAGATCCCAGCAGTACATAGTAAGTATACAAAGAAGATTGTACCTTGGCTTTCTAACGGCTGCATTTCTATAAAACAAAACAGTAATTCTACAAACTCACTATTAGCTAGTATCTTTGGAGTACTTGGCCTTCTAAATCAGCTCAGGTTACTTCCTTTTGGTTCCAGCATGCCCTGTGCCGTTCACTTCTAAAGGCAGGGCTCATTCTTACACGTGTGTGTGCAGCTGTGCACAAGTCCCTCTCTAGCTGTGTAAGCTTTCACCCCTGCTGGCCAGGCCTCTAGCCCTGCTTGCTTTTGACGGGATTAAGTATTTTCCTGGTCGGACCTGTCCTGTTCAGACCTGTGAAGACGAGCTAGGAGTCTGCTGCAATAGGTGCAATCATAGTATTGATTAGTGACCAGATACTCAAAGTAGAAATACTGCCTTCCCTATAATGTTCTTGTTGTAAAGTAATTTTAAAAAATTACCCTTCCCCCCCCAACAAAAAAAAAACAACCCAGGGCAAACAAATAATCTGTAGGGGCTTCTGCAGGGTCTCACTATCTGAATGTACAGCCAGCCTCTTGAAGTGCTTCCAGTAGGTGTGCTCTTTCTGCTGGTGGTGGTTCAGTGTGCTCTTCCTGTCCCTAATTTCTGAGGTCAGGAAGAGTTACTGCCTGGCACCTCCGTGCTGGCTGGAGCATCTCACCTCTCACCTAGAACCAGCGCAGTCTCTTTATGTTTGCGCTTTGTAAGTTCTGCTGTTTTAAGTTAGGCCAACGTACTTGCACAGAAAACTCTTGCATCTCTAAAAGGCTCTAACTTCCCGTAACTGACCAGGTCATACGGTCATGTATCTCAGCATTCATAAACTTACTGTGGCAATTGATGTATTTTCCTGCTTTTACAGTCGCTGTGTACAAATGTTAGAATGGTTTGAGCACCACGGACATGTCTGCATTGTCTTTGAGCTATTGGGACTCAGTACCTATGACTTTATTAAAGAGAATGGTTTTTTGCCATTTCGGCTGGACCACATTAGGCAGATGGCATATCAGATTTGCAGATCTGTGAACTGTAAGTCTATTTCTTATGGTTTTAGTTGTTACATTTTCTTTGAATTGTGTGCTAACTACATGTGTTATCTTGCAGTTTTGCACTTGAACAAGCTGACACATACAGATCTGAAACCTGAAAATATTTTATTTGTGAAATCTGATTATGTAGAAGAGTATAACCCCAAACTGGTAAGTCTCGGGTGCTCCTCTGCCTGCCCCCCAGCCGTCTCCTGGGTTTAGTTCATCATTTGCCTGTCGTCGTGTGTTTCCCTTCAGAAACGTGATGAACGCACACTAAAAAATCCAGACATAAAAGTCGTGGACTTTGGGAGTGCAACGTATGATGATGAACATCACAGTACTTTGGTGTCTACAAGGCATTACCGAGCTCCTGAAGTTATTCTAGGTTAGTAGGAGTGATTTGAGGAGTCTGTCTACTGTGCTTTAGAAGTCAACGCTGATAGTTTTGAATAAGCACTGGAGACATTTGGAAAAAATACTGTGATCAGAAGATGTGGGTTAGAGATGTGCTTTACGTAAGCTTAAGTAATTGGAATGCTTCATGCTTGTCACAGCTGAAGTGAGGTCTGCACAGTCTGACTTTAACACTTACCTCCTTTTGTCCATAATAGTTTTATGTAGTATTGAACTGTGCTGTCGTTCAGTCGCAACGGTAGGAACTGTGCTAGTGTAGTGGTGTGGATCTTGTTTGAGCTGTTAAACTGTTCCTAGTCCAGTATAAACATGACCCTTCTTTAATTTTTCGCAGCACTGGGATGGGCACAGCCCTGCGATGTCTGGAGCATAGGATGTATTCTCATAGAATACTATCTTGGATTCACAGTATTTCCGGTACGTAACACCTACCTTCAAAAAGGTGATACAGCGCACACAGTGCTTCACAACTTGGGGAAAACATGCTACTGAGAGGGGGACATGGTCAGCGCTAGAGATTAACTTGTATTTTGCTGCAGTACCACGCGGCACAGAGCAGAAAACAGGCATGTACAAGTTGCTTTCCGTCCTGTGGTAGCAGTAGTTTGGTGCGAGAGGCCAATGTGGTGTTAACATTTTGAAGTCACAAGCCCTACTGGTAACAGATGTGGTCTCATCCACCACCTTTGTCATCAGATAATGCTTGGGTGCGTAAAAACTGGCATCTTGACAGTATTGCTGGAAGTTGGAATTTATTAACAAAAAGCAAGGCCAGGTAAAGGACAAACTTGGTACCATGTAACTTACTCCATAGCTTTCTAAAAACCCTCCTCCCCCCCCCCAACCCCACCCCCAGTGTGAAATAATTATTGGTTGTAAGGACTGGTCAAAACTGTATTGTTAGCATGGTTGATGAATAACATGTTCATACATTTTAATTTCCCACTTAGACCCATGATAGCAAAGAACATCTGGCAATGATGGAGCGAATACTGGGGCCTTTGCCAAATCACATGATACAAAAAACAAGGTATTTATTGACACTTCTTTCTGCATCTAAACTGCCTAGTTTATAAGTTAGACTAGTTTTAGATGTGGTGTAATATCAGATTAAAAATGACAAAAATCAGATTCATCCCGTTGCTTTATTGAATTGGCCGTCTTTTTTTTTTTTTTTTGAAGTAGTCCCTGATTAGCCCAGGATTGTGCTAATCTGATGAGTACGCAAGCTTTGCGTCTAGTGAAGGGGCAAAGCAGCTACGTCAAATAACACGCTGTGTGGTCTGTTTAGGAAACGCAAATACTTCCATCATGACCATCTCGATTGGGATGAACACAGTTCGGCTGGTAGATACGTCTCAAGGCGCTGTAAGCCACTGAAGGTAAGAGAAGGGACAACAGTTGGGGGTAGGCGAGCTGTGACAGTAACTGTAAAATTAAAAAGTGATGCTCTATGGGTTTCTCCCTTTAAAAAGGAATTCATGACTTGCCAAGACTCTGATCATGAGAACCTCTTTGACCTCATTCAGAAGATGTTGGAGTATGACCCAACCAAACGTATTACTCTTGAGGAGGCACTGAAACATCCTTTCTTTTTCCCATTGAAACAAGAAAACAAGTAAAGCAAGCTGCATCTTACAACTGAGCAAGCTGTTACAGACTGTGTCAGTCAACAACAGAAGCATAATAAAGTTTTTAAGTATTTATTGTGTACAGGTAGCTTTATAAATGCCGTATTTTGTATTTTGACCCTGTTTGGATACTTAAGTTTATTGATCCAGCTGCTTGAAATAAAACTTTCTATTTAAGAAAAAGATACTTCTGTACCTGATGTTTTTACTTAAATAAAAGCTCAGTACACTTCAACATAGGTTAAGTGCCAGCTCTAACCTATGAAGCACGCTTCCCCTGAGAGGGAGTTTGGTCTTGAAGAGAGAGTGTATTATTATACACGGTTTATTTTAGCTAGGTCACTGGTGGTGTGTAAAGTCTAGGGATTGAAGGTGCAGTTTGATGATTTCTTTTAAGTGACTGACAGTGGAAAGTGGAAGAAGAGAGACAACCCTAGACATTAAGTGTAAGGATGGTCTTTATTTGTTTAAAAAAAATACAAAGGAAGGAAGATCACACTCATATTGAATAGATTGAATTGTGATCACCAAATTTTTCCCATTTTAGAAGTGTAATGGTCATGAGTGTTTCAGTTAATGCTCATTGTTAGCTCACAACAGTGTTGATCTACACTTCACCCAATCTTTCTTTAATGAGGAGCTGTCCTGAGAATTTCCATCAATAATTCTGACAAAATTTTGTTGAGTAGATAATATAACCTAGCAACTGCCAGCATAAACTAATCTTATCTCTCAGTCTCTTGTGGGTGTGGATTTTTGTCCATCTTTCTTACCTTCCAGCAGCCATGCACTTAACAAAACACCAAAGGAAATTAGGGCCTGAGCATGGAACAGAATATCCCAGAGCTGCACAGCCAAGGTACCCCCCTCCCCCATACTGCTTGCAGTGAAGGCCAGGGCTGTAGGAAGCAGCTGGGCAGCTGTACTGGGAGTGGCTGTTTGTACTTGCCTGAGAGCACAAGCAGCAGAGCAGCTGACAAACCAAGACCCCCCCCCACAGTACCCATCCCTGCTGCACAAAGGCCTCGCAGCCCAGGTGAGGCTGTGCTGCCCCTCAGGAACACAGGCCCCCAGCTTGGCAGCCAGTGGGCTCAGAGAATGCTGCGCTTCATCCCCCACCATGGTTACAGGCATTCACCACCCCAACAGGTTCTGTCCAGTAGGACGCTGAACTAGCCTCCCCAGAGGGGTCAGCTGCATTACAATAGAGGATTACTTTATGCTGGAAGTGTGGTCAAGAGATGATAGATGCAGTCTGTGGGAGAGGGACAACCACATCTATGAATGGGGTTATTTGGAGCAAGCAGTATGGGATTACAGTGTCACACTAACCACGCAAGCCATGGCCTCTTCACTGTAGAGACTTCAGTTTAATTTGCAAACAGAACTGCCATAAATCTCATTTACCAAAGCATGTCTACTCAAATGCAGATAGACAACCCAAGGGGTGAAATGGATTTCATTGTGGAAGGCCTTAAATTACATCATTACAGTAGAAAATACAGGAGGTAGAATAACTGAAAGGACTAATGTAGGTTAGAATCAAATCTATAGCTCGTGTAAGCTACTTAAAACATGGTTTTAAAAATTAAACCCAATATTTCTGTACTATAGAAAACGGTTAAAATAAATTTGCGCCATGAGAGCCCTTATATCATGCTTGATACAGGGAGGTAGGATGTAAGAATCAGAACACATGAGACATGACACTTATCTACAGCTCCTGTTTGCTTTACTGAGGACAGAATTTTGCAGGTCAGTCACCTTCTTCAGCATCAGACTCGGACTCTGAAAGAGACAGACGTTATCAACAGGTCAGAGAGCTCAGCGATGGGCCCAGCCTGCCCCCTGGCACAGCCCACCAGTAGCATGAACTGGCACAGTCGGTGGCTACTAGACCACACGGATTTTGCTCATGAGCTTCTGTAGCCAGCACTAGTAGGGCCTCCTCCAGGTAGCACGAGCTCCTGGCAGCTTGTTACTGGCGCGGAGACAAGTGCTGCTGGTCTCGGAGGACCCCTCACCCCCCTCCCTGGTGAGGTTAGTGTTTAAGCCTCAGCCTGGAAGCCTTCCTTTACCTTCTTCCGCATTCTTGAGCCATTCAACAAATTTTTTCATTTGCTCCAGAAGAACACTCTTACCTTTTGCAAGGTGCGCATCTTTATACCACTTCAGGATAGGTTCTTCACTCAGAACTTCCGCTGATTGAGATGTGTAAAAGTAACGTTAATTCAGCAAATCAATTGAATACCAACTACTCAAACCACCCCAACCAGCAGCCTTTGCTTCCTCCCCAAGCATTTTTACCAATTTGTACTTGGGCCTTGAGTCTGGTTATACGTTTGTGCCAGGAATAGCTCCTATTTTTAAATCTTGAGACTCATGTGTTTCAGGTTCTTTGCTGTGGGTTTTCTGAGCACTGCACCTAGGAGATATGCATTTGCTCCTCATAACAGAGTCCTAACTATTTCATAGCCAACTGAGATGACATACTCAGCAGTGAGGTCTTCAGTCAACTAAGCACAGATATACATTCTTCAGAGCCCAATGTACACAGCAAGAAATGTTCCTACAATTCACAAGTACAATATCATCTCCAATTTAACAATACATTTACTTATGTTCTTGTGTATCTACAGATGTGCAAGCATGTTCTGAGCAACACCTTAAGAGATATTTAATGCAGGGCCTTAAGTGTCCCAAATACCACTGTGGTCTCGGTCTCTGGTTGATGACAGACCATGTTCAGACAGGGAACTAGGAAAAACATACCATCACACATCTTTTAATTTAAAAGGGTTGAAGAATCTTAAATTGAATTTAGTTTTGCCCTGCCACAATTCTTGAAACTTCGTAGACAGGCAGCATTCTTGTCCAGAGAAAAGTGCTTCCTCATCCCTGGTGTAAGCAGCACTCCAAGGACAGCTGCATATACCTAGCGTTTGGGTGCTCCACCTCTATAAACTGAGGGTAGAAAATTCTTCAGCTAATGAAGTACACTATGGTAGCACTATGATCTTCCCTAAAGGTCTTTGTCAAGAGCAAAGCATTCTGCCACCCACATTTAAACAACAAAATAACCCCCCCCCCCCCCACACCCACACACACACACACAGAGGGAGTTACCTTTATAGAAGAGCACCACTATTTTCTGGAAGGCCTTCATGAAGTGGATGTTGTCATAACAGTACTCCTGAACCTTCAGTAGAAGAGTCAGCTCTGACTGACCTTGGGTAGTAAAGGCAGCAAGTAGAGGGCTGTATTGCTGTAACAGGAATGGCAACTTGGCACACACACACACACACCCCCCACGCACCCCCACTTAATATTTACTGCCTGACTAGACTGGCTTCATACAGTTTGTACCAGCCACTTGCTTAGAGGTTTACAACCCACATACCCAGGAAGCAATTTTTCACAGGAGTGTTTCCACAGACAAGTCATACTGCTTTTGCCTCACTAACGAGGACTAGAGTACTATAGCACGGAAGAGTACTACAGCATGCCTGCGCAAGGCAAAGAATCCCTTTATGCTGTGTGCCCACATTAGGGTTTTTGTGTGTCTGAGCTCGTTAAAAAGGAAGCTGAGAGACATGGGGAAGGCCCAGGCCCTACCCAATAGATGCAAGAGCCCATACTCAGTTACGATACCTTCAAGTGCTTAATGGCTTGCTCTGCTACCAGCTCCTCTTTTTTGTTCCATTCCACCGTGCTCATTACACTTGACCAGATTATGGCTATCACAGTCTGTTCCGAGATGTTGTTTTTCTTCATCTCCTCCTTCACATACAAGATTATCTGCCAGTCAGGGAAAAAGTCAGCATGTAGGCCACATATGACACTAACCTAAATTAAACTTCTGCTCCAAGACTCATTAAAGGCAGAAGTCAAGCTACACAGAAATAATGCTCCTCAAGTCATGCAAGACTCAATTTCTGAAAGTTTAAGGCAACCCAGAAGCCTTCAGAACCATGAACAAACTCCTTGGCCAGGCAGTAGGATTCAGGACACTAAGGAAAGCTTATGAAGCTAATAGCAACACACATCGGTCCTTTTAGTTCCTAGGGGGAGCTGTGGTGTCCAAGTTCAGTATCTATTTAGGCATAAATACTTTTCAGAGCAAGATTAAATGCTACTGTATTTCAGATAATTTGAGCTAAATTCCTAAAAAAAGAAGTGCGTACGGCTTGCCTATGAACAAATACACTTACATCCTTAAATGGATCTCCCCGCGACATCTGCTCCTGAAGTTCTTTCTGCAGCTCCTTCCGAGCACCTATGCTTTGTTGGTTCCGAACATACTCGGAAAGTTCTTTTAATCCTGCTTCAGTGAAGTACTTGGAGAAGTGTTCAACACTTTGTTTGTTGGCTGGGAAGAGTTCCTGAAAGCCAAGTTTACAGCAACTCTTTTACAACAGAAACGCGTTCCAAGTACTTGCTGGTAAATGCTATTTACCACTCTGCCTTAAGAATCAAATTAGTAATTTCAATGCTACTCACCATCAGCCTGTTATCCATGTTTACTTTACGAAGACTGACAGCCACTGCATTAATATCTTTCTCATTTATCCATGATTTGAACAGCTTGACTGCAAAAGCTGCAGAAACACCTGTGCAACAAGAATAGTACGACTGTTATTGAAATTCCATACAAAGAGAATCATAAGGCCTAAGAATACTGGGCACCTAGTTTGTCACCCCCTTCCCAAAGCAGGAGCAGCTGTGCCAAGGTGTCCATAGCATGTTCTGAAGTACTGCTGCCTGAGGACACCTTTCTCACCACTCGGGGCACCACAAAGGCGTCCCTCTACTTAAACTCATATCTCCTTGCCACAATTTGCAAAGGAGCCCAGTGACACGAACCACCTTCTCCACCCTGCAAGGTCCCACCTACGCTGACACCTCACCACCGCCTCACCTTGTAACACTGGCGACTGGAGCCCCAACTGTCATGCAGAGAGGTCCTACATGCAAGCTTCCTAGAAGACGATTTTCCCAAAGTCTTAGCAAGACCTTCCAGGTTGCTAGCCAGCCCGTTTATCTTTGCTAATCCTGAAGTAAGCGACACACAAAGTTCGCCACATAAAGCTAGTGAGCTGCAGGCATGCATCATCACAACCTTCCTCTACAGTCTCCAGCAACATATCACAGTAAAGCTTCAGGCTCTGCCCCCGTCATCCTTTGCCTGAAAATGAAGTTGGGCTATAGTTACCTTCTTTAACCAAGTTCTCATTGTAAAGACTGTTGAGAACTGATGCGTTAAGTGTCCCATTGGCTAGTAGGATACCCGTCAACATGGCCAGTTTGTTCCTCTCGGACTCTGAGAAACCTTTCAGGAAGAGCAGCAACTACAAGAGGAAGTAAGAATTGCCATAAAACAACCCTCTTTCACAGAAGTCAGCTACTTTGGCTACCGTCTCCACGCTAGATACTTGCTTTTGTTTCAATCGAGCAATCCAATCAGCAGCAACACTAGTGCATCGGTAGTCTTTTCCACTAGTCATACAGAACAGTTTTTCTATTAAGAAACCAAAAGATCTTCTCTCCTATTTGAATAATCTATTGAACACCCTATCTTTCTTCTGTAACACTGATCAACTGGTAGAATTTGAAGGTTTCTTTCAGCAGAAAAATAAGCCTACTTCATACCTTTTTGACTTCATCTTCAAAGCCTTTCTCTAGGTACTTGTAACGCCTGATTAGCTTGTTAAAAACCTGGAAAGAGATCGAGCATATGTATTATTTTTTCCCCTGTATTACTTAAATCAAGTTCAGCAAAGTTGGTTTGAACTCTTTTAGAGTTCTTCTAGCTTAGCATAATGCCATTATGCCACACACCCAGAGCCATCTTTTAGGAGGCATCTTCAAGCCATGCCATAAATTGGTATTTTATCTAAACATCCAACTACACAAACATTCCATTCTTGACCACTAAACAGAAGTTCAACTGTACCTGTTTCAGAACTAACCTGAGCAAATGCTTGCATGGTTTCTAGGTCTTCCTGTGCCGCAAATACACAGACATCTGTGCGCATCATGTCATCTGCCAGGGTACCACCTGGGGCTAAAGAAGGGTTTCAGTATTAGTGGTATTAGTCTCCAACAAGAAGACTGAGTTGTCTCCACAGTAAGAATTCCAACATCCAAACACACAAGATGTGTTGTCCTTTCACAAAAAAGGGAAGGAATGCCTAGATCACTGAAGAGACATCTGCTTTTCCATCTGCTTCACTCTCGTAGGTGCACTGAATTTTAAATCAGTAGCTTAGATATGAACACGTAAACGTTTTGACTCCCTATAGCTGAACGGATTGGCAACACGTTTACATCCCCATAAGTAAACATAAGCATACAAGCCCCTCTTCCCTTAAAGGAAAACCCTAAAGCTGCTTTATCCTAGCAGTGGTCTTTTTAGTGTCTACTGTAATAGCACTGCTTTCCTAAGCAAGAGAAAGTCAAACCAGGAGATGAAATATGTAGACACGCACATTCAAAATTCAGTGTCCCAGAGACAAACTCGAGGCTTCAGTCTTGAAAGGTCACTCGAGCTATTTAACAATGAAGCAGAAATTGCTTATTCACCACCCTTCTTCCCTTTAACGCAGGCATCTGATCACTACCAAGGCCACTTCATTAACTAGGGTGAATTCAGGTCACAAGTTCTGGTGTGTCAGGGCACCTCGTTACTGATTTCTATGCCATCTACACACAAGGGAGATCTTTTTATTACGTGTTAGTAAGAAACATAACTTAAAGACAGAGATAAATGCTGGCGGTAAGAATATGAAGATATGGCAAGGCAAAAGGATGACATTTTTTATTTTGGCCTCGTCCAGTCAAAGATCAAAGCTCATCTACTTGGCTACTTGTTATGAAGAGGGAATTGAGTAGAGGACCTCTATACTGGCATCAGTTCTTTCTCAAAAGCACTGCTGCGTTTCTGAGAGGCGACTTTAATTGGCTAAGATGATCAGCAGCGCCCACGAGCAATGCAGTTTTCCTTTCTGCCTCACCTTTGTTCCTAGAGGGCACCTGTGTGCACTGGTTAAAACTCTTAAACCCAAAGAGATTGTTACAATTTTTACAATAAGAATTTCAAGCTGTGATGCTCCCTGGGGCAGGCACGTTATATTTCCTCACGTTGCCAGCTCTCATAACATCAGCAAAAGCACCTCTTACCAAAACACTGTTCCAGTATACAGCTTTTAGATGAACAGGTGCACTTAATGAAATTAAACCATTGTGAATGCCTTTTTCTTCATCATTTGTTCCTGCAAGTTGCCTGTTGTCCACAATACGGGTGTGAAGACCACCTGAATATGCCAGAGACACCTCCTCCTAAACCACGCACACCCACTGCAGAACTGTCATCCACAGTCTGGCTGTGGCCCAGAATCAGATGCTTCCTCTCCTTCCCCAAAACATTTAGGTCACTTAGAATTCTATTTCTGCTGCATTAAGGGGGGAGGGGGAGGGGGGAACCAACCTTCGGCAGCTGCCAAATTTCTCGTTTAAGTCTTCATTCTACCCCCACCCCCACCTACTGCATAACAAATGCTGAAGTCTGAAACAGGCCTTTTCTGGTGAAGGCAGACAACATACAGGCAGTGAAGACCACCCTTTATTTTAAAAGGGTCCCTCCCATTTGAACCCCTTCTCACCAGATGCTACTCAGTCAAGTAGGAAATGTGAAGTCTAAATCTAGAAGCACCACAGCTTTCTTGCTGCTTTTCAACCTCATGTAGTTTTACCTACTTCTCACCTGGTTGATCTTGACCAGCTCTTTACATATATACATATATATTTACATATACATGCTTTTGAGCTTACAAGGCTTTTAGTCACCACGTTTCACTTCCTCTGTTCCATATGTTATCTGCCAACTTGGCCACCATCTCATTTCTCACCCCTGACATCTGCTAGAGCCTGTTCCCTCACTATTGCTAGGACAAACAATTCATAACAGCGTTTCCAAGACTAAGCACATCAGTTCTTCCAAAAGCCACGGTACTTTCCAAACTAAGAAGGTATGGCGTGCAAAGCATGGGATCATGTCGGAATCCTTCATGGCACCTCAGATGACCTTGTGACCAGACAAGGCATCTGAACAAAGCGTTTTGTTTCTCATCAGCACTCGTATTAACAGATCACACAGACTACACAGAGTCAAGTTCCACTCTTGGTAAATAAATAGACAAATAATAAATAAATAGCTTCCAACATGTTCTCCTTTAAGTCAAGTCAGCACAAGTGAATATCTAAGCTCTGAAGAATGCAGACCAACCCAAGCAAAAGTGTGATATAGTATATAGACTAGTTCCACAGTAACATAATTTGATTGCTTATTATTCACTAAGACAGACAGAGTTTGGCACAGATGACTTCCACCCCGTTCCACATACTCAGCAAGCTCTTTCGTGGAGTTTTTTCAGCAAAGGAAACGGTGAACTTTTGTAGTAAAGTCAACTGAATAAAGGTCAACAGCAGCCCCAGCAAAGGGGACTTACCCAGCATTCCGCCGGCCACCAGAATATCAAAGAGCGTTTCTGCATAGCGGCGATAGTCAAGTTTCGCTCCAGAGGCATCAAGAAACTTTGCTACTGCCTCCAAGTCAGTGCCAGTTTCGCTTAAACCTTGAATAATACAGTCCTGGAACTGAGTAGGGTCAAACCTCTCTTTTTCATCTGTAAAAACAAAGCATTTGTTAAACTGAGGTTGTCACATACAGTTGTTTGTTGCTTTAATTAAAAAAAAAAAAAAATCCACACAGTGACAAATCTAAAGCTGAACAGAACTGAGATCATTCTGGTTTACCACAAAAACTGGTATTACTAGTACAAGTAGCAACATAACAGTGTAGCCCAAAATGAATTTCAACAGCATTACACAAAACTCTTTGATCAATGAGACACAGTTATTTCTTCGCTCAAGACAATTCGCTTCTCCAATCAATTATTTTTCCCTTGCAGCCATTCTCCCTGCTAGGAAGTCACTGCTATATCACATCAGTAAGAAGTTTTACTGCTTTTATCTCTCCCCTCAGTCAAGGGGAGAGAGACAATCATAAGCTAAAACATTTCTTAGTTACCTGTAATTGAACGCTTAAAGAGTTCTTTTACTTAGAAGAGCAGTCATCTGCGATGACCATTAGTTAAACCTCAAAAAGCTCAGCTGACTTCCAAGTTCAATTCTTACATCCTGCTCCCACGGTGGACCACAAACTTTCAAAATGGATGCTCATCTACCTGCTGGACGGTAATTCCAAATGCGTGCCCCTGCAACTTTGCACATTTGAGCCAGTTACTCAAGCTCCATTTTAGCCATTTAGGCCTCTTACTGTTTTAGACGAAATATTCTGACTGAAACATTGCATACTGTCATCATGCTTGAGCCAAGTGTCAGTACATGCTCTTTGGCTACAAAGACCACCCCCCTCCTCTTATTTGGGATGAAGAGAGTCTGAAATAACTGCTTTTCTCAAGTGCCTGCAGTAGATGTGGAAATCTGAGCCAAGTTTTTGGTCTTACAGCATCCCTACGTTTCTAAAAACAAAACATATGCTTTTTTGTATTTGAGATAAATATGCTGATTACGGCCTTGTTTTCACTATATGTAGGGTATAGTTAAAACGTGACAAACTCACACAAACAATTAAAACAAAGTCTTAGAAGGAAAGGTTCTTCAACTTTGACCAAATTTGTCCTTGGATTATGTAAAGCCTTAGAAGAAACTTCCAAAGAAAACACAACTCAGCTGCAAACCTTACCTAAAGGGCTATCTTTAACAGCTTAGCCGGTTTTGTTAACACCTGTATAAACTCTTTATAAGACACATGTTACTGTCCTTATGTTCGATACAAGCTTTAACACATATGTAACAGCTATGTAGAAGCTTAGAAATACTGGATCAGTTATTTTCCAGGACAGATCTATGAGGCTGGTTGTGACCACAGAGTTGCGCTTGGAAGCTGTTCTATGGTTCAATACTTTAAAAAGAAAACAAACAAACACACACCAAAAACCAAAACACACACCCAACCAACCCACCACCACCCCAAAAACCTAGCATCTGCAGGACAGACTAAATCCAACTCCCAGTTCAATAGTTTCTCAAGGTATTTTTACTTGATGTCAAAATAGGTTCTGTAAGCCAAGTTTCTACTTGGTACCTCTGCACCAATTTATTACTGCTTCAGTATGTACAGCGTCCTTAGCACTGTCCGTTTGAGTAGGAACGCTACTGGTGTTCTAGTAAGGCAGCATTAAACAGAAATCCTAAGCACTGTCCCCACTTCCTCTTTAACTTAAAGAAAAATCACTAAATTACTCGTTTTACCTCTTCAGCCGTTAATTCTTCTTATATAACAGTAACTGCAGATACAGAGAGGGCACGTGCTTGGAAATCCCAGAGCTCCGAGTAGTTTTCCTCTACAAACAGCTACTCTTAGAGCATTAAAGTGACAATGCAGCTCTTACTCAGCAGTTCACACTGAAATCTCTGCTAGGTTAGACGCTCTTTAGATGCGTGCACTCCCTCCAGCACGCCTGCTGGGAGTCCCCCATGACTCTGCAGTACTAGATACTCCTGCTTTCGGACTAACCACATTCAGTACAGTTGTGGAATCGCTGTTTCTTAAGCCAAAATTATCTACTACAATTTTTTTTTTTTGGTGGGGGGGGGGGGGGGGGAGAACATTCAGCACTATCAAAAGTTAGTGCAAAGGCTGCGTTCAGCGTAGCCTAGCTTAGGAGACGCACAGAAAGAACATAAAGGCGTTAGTTTGTTCGTCCACTTGCGCGGCACGGCACCACGTTTCACTGGGCGCT